CGGAAGCCCCACTGAGCATGAACCTGAAAGTGCTGGTAGCAAGGGATGAATAAGTAGGTGGGAGTGCCCAGGATCCCGGTTGCGACGGTGACTAAAACCCACATTTGTCGGGCCTGGGGCGGCGCGCCCCGTACCGCGTCGATGCCCGCCAAGGCGCTATCCAACTCCACCTGGCGCCTGTGTGCTGTCAAGAACATGTACAGTTATGCAGCAAAAGCCTGTTCCATCTTCACAGTGCACCCGCTAAATAGCAAGTTTTCAACTAACTTTTAAAATTCACCAAAATATACTACAAAAAAATAAAGTAAAAAGTCGATTTTCAATAACACCGGCTACGCAACGTACTAATTTTATTAAATAAAAATACATTTTTGTTAAGTAATTGCGGAATAAAAATAATTATTTCTTAAATACAGTGCGAATGCAATTTTAGTATGGTGGACATACAGTGCGAGGTTTTTCGAAATGCGATACAATGCAAAAGAATTGTTTACGCTTTAATTCAGTACAAAATGGTAAATTTAATACTTTTATCGTATATAAAATACCTCCGTTTATTTAGTTGATTTATTGCTAAACTTGTAGCATTTTTTGTTGATTTTTAATTGTTTTTAAAAAAGTGCGTGTTTTTGCGCTTGACTATGGTGCACTGTACACCTGGGGATAGACTTTTGCTGCATGACTGTACCTTATGCACAAAGGTTCCTCCATTAGAAACGGAGGGCCGTGTTGTTGGCGTTCCGGGGACATCCAAGTCGGCCGGAGTCACGTCTTACGGCGACGTTGCATCAGCGACTCTGCACCAGCGCCTCACACGAAAGAGGAAGCATCTTATTGCCAATAGCGCCGCCACAACTTTCGACTAACAAGCAAGAGAGCTAGCCGCCGCTTTTCGGCCCAACCCCGCAGTAGCCGCTGCGGAATGCAGCTGTTAAACTTGTCATCGTCGCTGCCGGTACGGTCAGGTCACGGAAACCACTCAGGACAGCGAGTAAAGCGAACAGATCCTAGAACGTTTTCGGTGCGGGGATCTTTGCCAACTCGTTCGGACTCATCATGACGCAGAAGTCGTGGAAAAAGTGGTCGAAGCTCCTCGGGCGTCGTTGTGCAGCCTCGCCGGCTCCGTCCGCCACGCCGTCGAGGAGTATGTTAAAACTCTGCCTAACATTGCAAGGCTTCTCGTAACTAACATTATGGTCAGTCAAGTTGACTTTGCTCTCGTACGGACATAGAGAGCCTTTTCTAGAGCTCGTCTTTCGGAATGCTTTTCAACCCTCACCGTCCCAGGATTGGCGACGGCGGCGGACCGACCAGCTGGAGCCCCATGCTGCTGGTGTCACACAGCGATTAACGATCAAAAGGGCATGTATTGGATTGCCGG